AAATAAAATTCTCTAAAATTCATTCATTCAAATCTTCATTTTAAGTACAAAAACGTAGCCTATATATAGGCAACCATAGCACCCTCTAGAATCAGCATCTTAAGACATAAATGCTAGGGATGATGCCTCATTAATGATTATTTGACTATGGGAGGCATCATTTCTTACATAGAAATAAAAGGAAATAACTTAAACTTCGAGAATAAATCTGCTATTTGAAAATAGGAAACTGTAAAATAGGAAACTAATTATAACAAACAGAATCCTAATTAATGTCAATAATATCACTCTTGATGCTTCTTGAATCTTCTTAGACCTTCCAAACGGACCTTCATTGCTATTCACGTCCAGAACCATGAATGGGCCTTTTAGACATCCATTTGGGCTTGAATGTGGTTGAATCACGTTCTGGAATTCTCATGGTCCATAGCATAATGCATTTGGGCTCCAATTTAAAAGATTATAGCTCCAATGGACTCCTCCATGCATATATAATTGTGTTGGGCCTTCAACAACATGAAAACTGGCTTTAAATGCTCGTTTTGGGCTCTTAGAACGTGTTCTTATCTTTCTCAAGGTCCAAGTGTTCATACTCCAATGACTTATATGCAATGATGGTTTTCAGGGTGGCCTTCCATATGTCACGTTAAGCTCCGCATGTATCCGTGTCATCATCCAAGGAATGATCCATGTCCTCCTTTATGTAAGCATTCTAGAGCTATAAATCCCTTGAACATTCTGGAGGGCTTGCTGGGTTTCTAACTGAGGGAGTGTTATTTGGGCTTCATGACCTTCATATTCAACACCTCCTCGTATGCTATCAGAATCTGCTTTCTGAGATCATTTAGGGGAGGGACATACAATCTTCCTCTGAATTCTATCACTCCCTCTATTAAGATCTTGAAATCTCTTATCTCGTTGCCCAAGACTTTAGCTTGAAGGGTCTTTGCCAAAGGATCCCCTCTTTGAACTTCTTTAATTTGTTTCATCATATCAGCATTTGTGCTCTGTACTAATGGCTCATTAGCCACATCAGTTGCCGTCAACTGCATATGATAAATAGGACCCCAGTCTCATATATCTTCTAACAGATCACCCTCTTTGATCATGAGGGTTGCTGCTTGTACTACCTTTCTACTTAAGGTGACAGCCACTACATTGGCCTTTCCTGGATGATACTTGATCTGGTAGTCATAATCTTTTAACAACTCCATCCATCTCTTCTGTCTCATGTTAAGTTCTTTCTAATCTTGCAGGTACTTAGACTCTTGTGATCACAGAACAATTCTATGGTCGCCCCATAAAGATAATGCCTCCATATCTTCAAGGCATACACTATCGCTGCAAGCTCCAGGTCATGAGTAGGATAATTTTCCTCGTGAGACTTTAATTGGCGTGAGGCATCGGCAACAACTCTCCCTTACTGCATCAGTACACATCCTAATCCCTATTTGCTAGCATCTATGTACACTACATATGATAGTGTCAGATCGGGGAAAACTAGTACTGGGTCAGAGGTCAGCCTTTACTTCAACTCCTAAAATCTTACCTCACGTTTCTCATCCCACAAGAACTACTGCTTCTTCCTGGTCAGCTTCTTTAGTGCTTGGGCAATTCTAGAGAAGTCCTGGATAAATCTCCTATAGTAACTTGCCAGCCCTAAGAAACTTCATATCTCTGTCACTATCTTAGGCTGCTCCTAGTTCAATACTGCTTCAACTTTACTGGGATCTATGGCCATACCTTCATGGTTAATCACATAGCCTAGGAATTTAACTTCTTTTAACCAAAACTCACATCTACTGAGCTTGGCATAGAGTTGTTTCTCCCTCAATGTACTTAGCGCAATTCTCAAGTGCTGCTCATGCTCCTCTTAAGTTTTGGAGTACACTAGTATGTCATTGATAAAACTACTACAAACAGATCTAAGTATGGTATGAAAATCTAGTTCATGTAGTCCATGAAAATAGAAGGCACATTCGTCAATCCAAATGGCATTACTAGGAACTCATAGTGTCTGTATCGGGTCCTAAACGCAGTCTTCAAAACATCTCCTATCTTTATCCTCAATTGATGGTATCTCAATCATAGATCGATCTTTGAGAATACCAGTGCTCTTGCCAGTTGATCTGACAGATCATTGATCTGCGACAAAATATATTTGTTCTTTATCATCACCTTGTTTAGCTCTTGATAGTCGATGCATAGCCTTAGACTACTGTCTTTCTTTTTCACAAAGAGTACTGGAGCACCCTAGAGAGATACACTTAGTCTTATAAAACCCTTCTCTAACAATTCCTCGGTTTGCCTCTTTAGCTCTACCATTTCATTGGGAGGCATTCGATATGGAGCTTTGGATATCGGTCTTATCCCCAGTACAAGGTCAATCGCGAACTCCACTTCTCACTCTGGCAGAATTCCACTGATCGATGTTGGAAATACTTCTAGAAAGTCTTTCACCACCAGTATCTCTTTGATTCCTTCTTCTACCTCTGCTTGAATCAAGAAGAATACAAAATATCCCTGCCATCCATGCCATAAACATCTACTAGCTTCGGCTTCAGTTATGTAATTTAAGCTTACTTCTTTTCTAGGGATTAGTTCCTTAGAGGGCAATACTAATGTTCTCTTACTACAATCTAGAAGTATGTTGTTGGCAGACAACCAATTCAAACTAATTATCACATCAATATCACAGAAAGGCATGCATATCATATCAATGGCAGTGCAACAATGCTCATAACAGACCACACAATTCAGGCATGTTTTAGAAGTCATAACTTTAGGACTAATAGGAGTGGAAACAACAATATCATATGGCAAGGTATCAACAGTCAAACCCAATCGCCCAGCACAGTCATGTGATATAAAGGAATGGCTAGCACCCGAGTCAAACATGGCATACACAAGGCAATCATTGATAGTGATCATACCTTGGATCATGTCAAGTGACTTATGAGCCTCCACCTGTGTAAGGGCAAACACTTTGCCTTGGGTTTGCTGCCTTGCCCCTTTCGCCCCTTGCAGCATTCCCTTGAAAAGTTTCCCAGCTTTCCACATCTATAGCACACATTTTAGCCCAATAAACATGGCCTGTCGCCATGGTTCTTGCTGCATTTCTCACATTCCTTGACCTTTTGTGTGATATCAAACCCCTCATGGACGTCTGTTCCCTTTTTCTCATCTTTCTGCCAAAGCGAGGCCTCCTCCTCTTCTTATTCTCATTTTGGCCCAATAAGAGGTTCCTTCTTCACTTGGCCTCAGTGGGGGTCTCTCAGTTCTCAAAGCTACTGGCATCATCCCTCGATGATTCTGACTCGACTCAGTAATATGGCCATTTTCCACTGCCTTATTGAAACTCTCTATCTGTTGAGGTGCCACAAACTCCCTCAGTGCAGGCTTTAATCCTCTAACCAACTTCTCCGTATTCTATCGTTCATCATTAAGACGTTTCAGATAAGCAGAATAATGGGACAAATGAATGCGCTTTGCTAGGTAGTCATCAAAGGTTTCATTATTCCCCTGTTGCAACACTAGAAACTTAGCTTCCATTTTATGTTGATCTGATTGGGGAAAGTACTTTTGGTAGAACCCACGTTATTGGAGTATTGTTGGCTTGTAGTACCAACTCAATGTTGTTCCGCCACGGATCAACTTTTTTCTCCAGCTTATAGACTCAGCCTTGACCTCGGATGAACATCCCATCATCTGAAAGATCTTCTCCAGTTGGGTAATCCAATCTTCAGCTATTTGTGGTTCCAGTGAACCATTAAACTCTGGTGGATTGTGCTTGTAGAATTTCGCAATCCACTGCTGGATATCTCCTTAGTTCTCAGCGAGTCCTGCTTGCTCTTTAGGTACTTACTGTTGGACTTGTGGAGCTGCTTTAGTTTGTGTTTGCTTAGGTTGTTGTAATTGAGCAATCACTGCTGCTATAATCACGTCTCTCTCTTCTTGTTGATGTAACTGCATCTCTTGTACTTGTTGTATGACTCATTGTTGTTCATCCAGCCTATTCATTACTTGCTGGATAGGATCCATATGTGGTTCCCCAGGAGTGTTTCTCACTCCTCTCCGTGTTCTCACCATTTTGTTGGTTCTTTAGTTAACTATGGGTGAATAAAGGAACTTCTCAATCACTTATTGTAAAAACATACTTCTTATATTTATATAATTAGCATTCGTAGAGCAACAAAAGGAATATGCAGGGTTTTTAGCAGTTAACTATCTTGCATACAGCCCAAAAGTATTTATACTATGTATAATGTAAGTCTAATACTAGTCGTGACCAGCTCACAAAAAAGTAGACCATACAAAGGTCTAAATGGCCCTGACCATCTCTAGGAAGGTATATATGGGTAGGTGATCACATATCTCTTTGACTCCATCATCCCATCTCCATGTCCTGGGAATTACATGATACAGGGCTAGGATCCAATCATTATCCCCTAGGGTATGATCCTCCCTAGTCACCCAATAATAAAAGCTCTTAATATCCTCTAAGAACCTCAAGTACACATCCTCCTGGTGCTCATAGGGCATAATGAAATAGCTCCTACACATCAGCCTCAAGTACACAATGGAATTCTTTCTTAATTTCAGGTATAGGGATCTGACTTGGACCCGCTCCATTATTATTGGGCATCCCGGTACATCATTAGAGACAATTATGGCTATGTCTCTCTCCAGAGCCTTCCCCTTAAGACCAAAGTAATCTATATGGACAGTTGAGGAATTGGTGCTAAGCTCTCTATACCTCTTAATATCCTCATACCACCACATCTTGTCATACTACCATGGATGTTGCTCACTAGGCATGACCTTGCTAATGGTCTCTCCTGATTTTTCACTTTTACCATCACAGATAGCCATCACCTAAACTTTCTGCAATCTAAATGACCAGATAAACTCATTAATGAACAGTATAAAATGTTTTCCTCAAAATTCAGAGTAGAGAACTTTAAGTTTAAAATTTAGGTTAAGGTGCGGATTTAACAACCATGTTTTACAAAAAGGACAACTGGCACCATTTACTTTTGAAGGGTGCTAAAGTAGACACAAACATTAAAAAAGAGTGCTTTTTAACCACAGTCGTTGAAAGGCCTAACGTTGACGGTTACAAGGATGGGGGTGAGAAAAATTTGACCTAAAATGATGAAGTGGTAGGGAGTAAATAGTGACGTGGCAGAAAGAAAATGGTGATGTGGCTGAGACTAAGGTGATGTGGTTGAGACCTAAAAATTGGATTAAGTGTGAGGCGCGAAATCAGACATTAAGAGTAGGAGGCAAAGCGTCGATGGGGTAAGGAGAGAACGAGAAAGCTGAGAATTGAGATTCTTGTAGGGTTCTGAATTGGGAAACTGAAAACATGAGAAATCGAGATAGAGGGTTAGCAAGTGTGGTCCATCGAAGAGTATGTGATCGAAGATTCTTGAAGGATTACGAATGAGGGAACAGCAGATTCTTCATAGGTAAGCATCGATTTAGACAAAAAGTTGTTGTATTTTTAAGTTGAATAGTGAAATGGCATCAAAGCCCTTAATAAATTTGGGGATTTACTTGTTGCAGTGCGAATGCCAACAAACAAGGGTGATAATGTTCCTGTCGAACCGGGCAATGTTGACGCAAATGGAGGAGACGACACGGAGGCCAAGAAGTACGAGACATTGGAAGAGAAGCATGCGAGGCTACTTAAAAAGCTGAGTCAAATGTTTGATTTGGCAAAAACGAAGTGTGCAAAGGATGAAGGAAAAATTGAGTGAGGGGCATGGAAGCATAGGTGAGTGGGTAAGAAGAAGTAGGGAAAATGAGAGATGGGTCTGGGCCAATCAAGATGAGAGAGAGGTAGGGGGCAATGAAAATGACAAAGAGGAACAGGGCAATGAAAATGACAGAGATCCAGAACAAGAGGTGATTGAGTGTGTAGATGTAGATGGTTTAGAAGAGATAGATGATGATGGAATTGAAGATTTACCTGAACATTGGGAGGAAGGGGGAGATAGTGAGGATGACGTTGCTAGAGAAATTGACAAAGGGAAAAGAGTATTGGTTATGGATGAGGATGAGGATAAAAGTGAGGAAGGGGGAGATAGTGAGGATGAAGAAGGTTCTGATAGCGAGGATTCGAATTATGTTGGAAATAGTGCCAGCTCTGACACTGAGGAGAGTTTGGTGGATGATTTTGAAGTATCTGAAAATAGTGAAGAGAAAGATAAGGATATGGGCCTTAATGAAGATTGTGAGCCTCCAGATGAAAGAGTTGGGCTTAGCACTTGGAGGGCTTGGGAGACCGGCCTTTCTTTATGTTAGGCATGACTTTCTTAGACCTAAATGAGCTCAGGAGCGCCATAGATAGCTATGCTATTTCGAAAGGGGTACATAATGTGAGAAAAGGTTATTAAAGGCAATATGTGAAGAGGGCTGCCCATTCACCTTATATGCATCGAGAGATGGGAATAATGTGGGCTACAAGGTGAAGACATTGTGCAATGAGCACAGGTGTGGTAGGGTTTTCAAGAACCCTAGGGCAAGTGTGAAGTGGCTAGCCGAACACTTCAAGGAGAAAATACAGGAGAGACCTAATTACAGCATATGTGAAATGAAGAATGATGTTGAGCGTGAGTTGAAGGTCCACGTGAGCTTACATAAGTGCAAGAGGGCAAAGAGGAGAATAGTACAACACATGGATGGGAGCTTCGTAGATGAATTCTCCAAGTTAGAAGCTTACTGCAATGAACTGAAAGTGTCAAATCCTGGGTCAGATATTAGTGTGGAGATAAGTAACGAGGCTTTGGAACAAGGGAGAAGAGTTTTTAGAAGAATGTATTTGTGTTTTAATGCAGCAAAGGTATGATGTTTAGATTTTTGTCACATATGGTATAATCTGTTAATTTGTTGTTTTATATTTCAGTTTGTCCTGACGAGTCAAAATTGTTGGTTTAGGTTGGTTGGAAAGTTGGGTGTAGACCATTGATTGGAGTTGATGGAACATTTCTAAAAGGTAAAGCTAGAGGAATTCTATTAACTGCTGTTGGTTTAGATGCTAACGACTCATTGTACCCGTTAGCATTTGCTTTGGTTGATAAAGAGAATGGTGTGAATTGCAGTTGGTTCATTCAGTGGCTTAGGATATCACTTGATCTTCACAATGGTAGCAAAGTAACTTTCATGTTAGACATGCAGAAGGTATGATTAGTTACCTTTGCTGATTTACATATGACTTATGTGGTTTTAATGAGAACATTTAATTAACTAGTTCTATACATGTAGGGATTACAACATGCTGTGACAGAGATACTTCCAGAGGCCGAGCATAGACTTTGTGCAAGGCATATTTATGCTAACTGGAGCAAAAGGTGGAGAGGGAACGAGATGAAGAAAAAAATTTTCTCTTGTGCTTGGAGTACATTTGAAGAACAATTCAAAGACAATCTCAAAGCACTTGGAGCACTTAACAAAGAGGCAGCTGAAGCAATGGTGTCATACCCTACATCTGCTTGGGTAAGAGCTTCTTTCAGTAATAGATGCTTGTCTTGGGTTGTAGACAACAATATGAGTGAGAGTTTAAATGCTTGGATTGATGAATATCGATATCTACCTGTTATTAGAATGTTTGATGGGATAAGGGTTAAGATGATGGAAAAATGGGCTGGGAGTGAGCAAAATGTGAGGAATTGGAAAGGCAACTATAGTCCAAAATGTCTAGACTTATTTGAAGCAAATAGGTTGTTGTCCTCTACATGTAGAGTTTTTTTCAATGGGGATGAGGGATTTGAGGTGACTGAGGGACAAGATAGGCACACATATGTCTCACTAGGAAAACGTGCACGTGCAGGGCATGGGATTTAACTGGAATCCCATGCCAACATGCTATTCGTGCTATGTATCACTGTAAATTGGAGCCCCTCACCCATATCTCACGCTATTACCACAAGGACACCTACATTGCTAGCTATAGGACAAAGTTTGCACCTGTGAGGGGCAAACAATTCTGGGATACAGAACAGTTTATCCCTATGCTACCACCACTTGAGTGCACATTGCCTAGCCGACCAAGGAAAAAAAGAATCAGGACAGAAGAAGTAGCAAGAAGGACAAATGTTGCCTCTAGGAAAGCTTCTCAAGCTACCTCAAGTAAAGCTGGCATGAGCAATGGTTCAGAAACACCACTTGTCGAAAGAGTAAGCAAACGGGGACAAGTCAACAAATGTGGCTTCTGCAGGAAAGTTGGGCACAATAGAAGCACTTGCACAGAGGTAACTTGTGCCAATTTCTTTATATTCATTTATTACAATAACTATAAGCTAACTTTTCATTTCTTTCTAAGCACCTCCCTCAAATAAGCCTCGACCTGGTAGAAGGAGGAAAACAACCAACCAAGGCACAACGCAGCAACCATCCAATCCCACTTCACCTTCACAGCAACCACATAGTCCACCTACAGAGCAACCACCCCCTCCACCTTCACAGCAACCACCCAATTCTACTTTACCCTCCCAATAATCGACAAATCATCCTCCATCGACACAACAACCACCTAAACCTTCCAAACACATAGCAAGAAAGAGGGTTGTCTACAAGCCCAGAGTTGAGTGTGGAATGGGTATAAGAATTGATGAGGGAACTGGGAGAACCGTCTACAATGTAAGTATTACTAGACACTATTCTCTTCCATTTTAATTCATGCAAACTTACTGTCATTTAAGCAATGTCATTGACTTATGCAGCCTGGAATACGTTCTGAGGTGGTCATTGAGGAGGGTATTGCACAGGAGCATATACAACACTACGCGGACCCTCAGAGTAAATTTCCAATCCCAAATGAGAAAGAACTTCGACTGTCACGAGCTTTAAAATGCACTGCACCAGAGGGTTCCAGGAGGATACCATTCACTAGGCAAGGGACCCCTGTTTCACAGCCATCAACACTACCATTTACACCTCCTGGGTTGATGTGGAAGGGCCAACGAAGCATTTCAAGTACCCACCTCCAACTGCAGAGCCAAATGATGAAGACAAGAAGCAAGACCAACTTTAAGAGCTCTGATATTTAGATTGCTTAGAAACATTTAAGACTATGTATTTGACTATTTTGTACTACGTATTTCGTTACTTGGATTATGGTTACCTTATTGCCTTTTACATGGGATTATCACTTCCTAGGTCTATATTTTGGTGAACCAATGCTTAGTCTTTCATATGGATGCCTTCTTATTTTGCAAGTCCTATGTGATGTAACTCTTTTAGCAACATTAGTGGCATGTACAAATGTCCATTATAATTAATTAAGGTTATTATCTTATGTTACATCTTCAGTTCCTCATTATTAATTAGGTTACCTTTACATCTTATTTAATTCATATGTTCTTCTCTTCTATTATTTCAATTAACATTATTGCCATCAAAATTACCACCCTTGTTATATAATTGTTGGATCAGTAATTGCTTCACCACATGAATAATTTTTTCATCAAATATACCATGAAGTGGTCCATAATTGTTACAAAACAGCTATCATAACCCATATCTCCTGACATACAAGTATATTGCAATCAATTTCACACACTCCTACTTTGTCAAATACAAAACAACTACTGCAACCGATATCATTACAGACACTAACATTGCTCTTCTAAACTTCTTTTCCCTCTTCCTCACTTCCACATCATTCAGCTCATGTCTGCGTTTAAGCTTCTTCAATTCACTGTGAATTACATTGAGCTCTTCACTTAGTCTCCGCCCATGCTCTCCTCTTTGGTTCCTGCTACTTTCATCATATAGTCTGTCAATATCATCTAATAGCTCCTTGATCACAGTGTTTGCCCTCTCACCGAAGTCCCCATCATGCCAAGAGAAATAGCCACATCCTCCATCCTGTCGTGTTCAATACCAACATTTCAACCACGGAACCAGGGAAGAAAATAGCATTTTTCATAGCAAGAAAACCACTTCATACCTGGTCATAGTTTGGGCAGCCATAAAACCTCCTACCTGGGTTATTATCAGTCCAAGCCGTCCATCAGAGAGCTACCAACCCATGATGGCAATACCTCATCGGCGGTTCGTAGTTGTCCTCGCGACTAGGTTGCCTCAATAAAGCAACCCTTCTCATCTTGCCGTCAACGAGGATGATGATGATGCCATGAACTTCACTTTTAGACCTCACTTTGTGTACTCCCTGCGTCTTCGCCTTCTTTGATGGGTATAAATGTGGTTGCAGGGGAAGGCGTTCGAACTTTAATAGAGTCATTGAACTCTCTACCTGCCACGTCTGAAATGGTCCGAAGCTTAACACTTGCCAGGTGGAGAAAGATGTGTAACCCACTTACACAAAGTGGACGGACGTTTGGGCCTTTCAACGGCTGTGGTTAAAAAGCACTCTTTTTTAATGTTTGTGTCTACTTTAGCACCCTTCAAAAGTAAATGGTGCAAGTTATCCTTTTTGTAAAACATGGTTGTTAAATCCGCACCTTAACCCTTAAAATTTTGTTCTGATTGTCAGAACTATTATGCTGACACTAAAAATGTAACACCTTACATTTATACCAATTAACTTGCCTTACGGAATCATTTGGAATCACTTTTAAAGACTAAAAAGTTATGAAAAATCAAGTTTGAAAATTTTCTTTTTCGGATTACTATTCATTGTAAACCTAAAATGTGGCAAACTTTAAAAATTCATAATTAATTGTAAAAAAAATCAAAAGTGAGTGATTCCAAGTTCTATGGAAAGCTCTTTGGATAAGCTTTTGAGAAAAAATAGTTTCTAGACTAATTGCCTTGAAATTCTAGCCCTTTTTTTTTTCCAAAAAATTTGCTGCTTATTTGGTCATTTTTAGATTTTTACTTTATCTTTGCCTAACCTTAGAAAGGCATAACTTTCTACTCAGTTATCGGAATTGGGCAAACTACCTCTTATTTTAAATAGAAAAATCAGATCTCTTTGTTCCCCAAATTTTATAACCTAAGTCACTCGTTTACTCAAATGGTAACTTAACTTAATTGACCATTTACCATCATAACATACTCTCATTAGCTATACTATTTCTAACATACTCAGATTATTCTAAACATGCTCATATACTTCTAACCTTAATCATACTATTGGAAACTTAAAGCATGCTTATTATTATTACATTCTTTCAAAATAGAAAGGTTCAAAGCCATATAAAGTCAATATGGCTTACTACCTCTTCAAGTAAGAGCCAACTCCCTTCCTTTGCCCTTGGATGTTGAAGGCCCTAGGGTTTGTAATTAGGGTAAGATTCTTAGGAAACAGTAGTAGCAATTGCATACATTATCAAGGTCACACAATACATTGTAAATCAAGCTATATGCATGCATACTTAAACTTTATGCTCCTGCTATGGCAAGGACATATCATCATAAACATTCATGAGACTCAATATAGCATAAGCCAAGGCATAAATTGCATGGAGATGACATCACATAACATAACATTCTCATCCACCTCGTAGCATAACAAGTTAGCAAAACACATAGCCATAATCATACAAAGTAAAGTGACACTCTAATATAATGGATTGCAAAGCTACCTTGAATGCTTTCCTTCCTCTTGAACTCTTTCCTCTTAACTCTCTTTGCCCTTTTGTTGTGTATAGCCTATTAGGCAACCAATGACACAACATTAAGCATTATTACAACTCCATAACTTAACATAACCCCCCAAACCCCTTTTTCTTGATTTTTTTTGGGTTTATTTTTTTAACTTCAATTCTTGAACTTTCTTGGGCCTTTGCTACATAATTGTTCATGTAGAATCTATTTATCATATTATTTTTATAAAAATCCAATCCCTTTCCATTGAACTTGACTTGGCTGAACACTATATATAATCATAGTGAAAGGATTTTCAACAAAACTAACACGTAATCACTTAATCTTCAACCTTTAACCATGCCTAATCTTAATCATACATAACCTAAACCCTTCCTATCCATTTTGATGAAATTTCAGCACTTCCCCCTTAGGAAAATGACTTTCTATCATCATCAAAATAGCATAAAACCAACATATCACCATTATAACTTGAAATAGAAGAGTTGTAGAAGCTTACCTTGCTTCCAAGTGACTTCCTCTCATTGGAACTCTTCTCTTTCTCTCTCTAAATGAAATTTTGCAAGAGTTTCCCTACTTGAATGGCCTTGCACGAAATGAACATGTAGGGGATATTTATAGGCTTCATATTTTCATTAATTTCACACATGCCCTTCTTGCATAAGACTTGATCTTGGCCTTCTAATTTTTTACCTCTTTTCAAATGTACAAATCTTAAGCTATGTCGCTTAATATGTTGACACTTGGATTGTGAGTCATTAGGGCTTATGTCATCTCTTCTTATCCATTAAGATTAATTAGGCTTTAATTAAGGTTAACTCTCTTGATTCCTTGATTAACTTGGCTAATCACCCTTGTAGAAGCTTTTGACTTTTCAATGATAGATGGTTGAATCCTAGCCATCCAATGAACGATGTTTGCCATGTGTCAAGATCTTATAGAAGATGACTTAATCCTAATCATCTTACTTATCCTTAATTAGATTTTAATTTAACTTGATTTATTATTTTCTTTTTCTTTTTCTTTTTATTCTCTTTTTCCCTTTCTTAGCCAATTTGGGCATGACATGTGTCCTTGATATTCTGCCAGAAATTTTACCACCTCGGTTGTCCTGACAATCCACTGAGTCTTAATATAATATTGGCTTATTTTATCTAACAACCAAAAAATTCTAGTATCTTAGAATTCTTATATCAGGTCACCATTAATTATATCTCAGTAAAAGGAACTTTCTTGATCAATTTCATAATTTTCCCCCTATAACTCTTTAA